AACTCAAACACCAGAATCAAGCTGCCACAGCGAGGCGGGTGGAGACGGGGATCAAACACAGCCGATATTTGTTGAGACGCATGGAGGAAACGAGGCCCTGAATCACAGCCGCACTCAAACTCAACCCGACGGGGAGGTGAGGAGGCTTAAATCAAACACATCCTGAGCTAAATCTGGTGCAGCAGGAGAGAGAGAGCGGAGGCTTGGATCAAACACAGGCGCAGCTCAGCTCTATTACACAGAAATCAAACGCGCCCTGAATATGTGAGAGCAAAACCAAACAGACCCTCCGTGTAGGGTGACGCAGTTTTACTCCGTCAGGATCTGAAGACAAAGATAATTACACATCCACAGAGACGCCACGTAGAGGCGAGGCGGTTCTAACAATGGCGGCAGCGGAGACCTGAGAGAACAGCCATCGCCCCAGAGCCCTGACAGGACCGCCGCCACGATGGTGGTTCTCTCAGGGCTCGAGCACGGCAGAGACACTAATGGATGACTCAGCCGAGTCAGGAATCCTAGTCTCAAAGAAGACGGCCAACCCTGCACAGGGACGCACTGAGAAAGACAGAGGCTACGACGCAAAGGACAGCGTCCCCACAGTGAAGCACGGTGGTGGCAGTATTATGCTGTGGGCATGCTTCACTGCGTCTGGACCTGGGAATTTCATCGAGGTGGGTGGATCCATGAAGAAAGAAGGATATGTGAATGAAGACCTGAAGCAGTCAGGCTAAACTAGGGCTGAGTCATCACTTTGTCTTCCAGCATGTCAACAACCCAACGCATGTGTCGCTCCTGGTGAAGAACGCCCTCCAGAAGACCGAGGCGAGCGTGACAAAGCCCTGACTGTGGGCTGAGACTGGGCGTAAACCTGGTTGGACTTGAGTTTGGCTCAAGTTTGTTAAATTAAATCAATTTAATAAATCAAATTTCAGTGTATTTTATTTGACATTCAACCTACTGATACTTACAGAGTGAAGCCAGGTTTTTACAGGAAACAAACGAAGGCTACGTCCACACGTACCCGGGTATTTTTAAAAACGCAGATTTTTCAATGCGTTTGCACCTTCCGTCCACACATAAACGGCGTTTTCAGTCACTGAAAACTGAGATCTTTAAAAACTCCTGCCTGGGTGGAGATTTTCGAAAACTCAGTTTTTGCGTTTACGTGTGGACGAGGAAAACGGAGAAAACGCAGCGTCAAAGGTGTGCGCCTATTTTGACATCACATTGTGCGCCACGTTATTGTTTCAGTGATATGAATTTCTACAATGGCGGACTTGGACAAAATACTGTTACTGTTACTCTCTGCAGTGTTTGGCAGCGTGCTCGATGAAGTTTTTCGCTGTAGAAAGAAGTTTTCTTCCCACGCAGAGTTTACAGCAGGCGCTAATGTTTCTGTCACTTTTCACAGAATCAAACTTAAAGTAATGTGATTACTTCCAAGCTTTAAACGCTGCATGGTCGTACTCCCTCCAACACTCCATATTATCCACTGTTGATCTGCACACGTCTGTTGCT